CCGGGTCCAGTTTGGCGGGCCCCGCCCCAGACCCTCGCGCATCGCGTGCGACGGCCCGCGAGAGGGCGGCGCGAGATCATCGCGGCGACGACCTGTCGCAAGTTATCCATCGGTCTTATGGGCATCAGTTTCAAGCCCAGGAACTTGCACGTTCGTCGCTACTGTTCCAGCCTCGGGCGCACGCGGCATCAGACAGCATCGCCATCGCAACGCAGGCAATGGGCGGGCGCAGCAAGAACAGTCGATGCAAGCCTGCTGGCACCTTCGCCGGCCCGACATTTGGTCGGCGACCGATCTGGCCAAGTCGGCCGGCGCTGTTGCAGCGAGGAGGAGCGTCGGCATCAGCGTCGATTCTCTCCAAGTTCGTACGTTCGGCGAAGCGCGTCGCAGGGGGTCTTCGGCGCCGAGCTGTCCGAGCATCGCTCCGCCAATTCGAAGATCGGGTCTGCGCGCCAGAGGTCTCGAGGCCCCTGCGCCGTTCAATGTGCAAGGAGCCTGTCCCCCGAGAATTGATTGGCTTTGAACTTTGGCGGCGCCTTGCTTAATCCACGCGATATCGCGGCCTACATAGCTGCTCAATGCAAGATTTGGCCCCGAGGGAGGCAGATGGGCAACGAATCCCGGAGGCCTCTGCATCTGCGAGGGAAGCGACGAGCATCGAGCCTTAGATCCGCTGACCCCTTCAGATGCCAGAAGCGGAGCCCATCGCATGAGGCGTCGAGCAGATCCAGGCGCCGACGCGTCGCCACCTGGGGGCGTCGAACGATGGCCTGGCCACGCACGACGCTTCAAGAGCTACGCGGTTGCATCTGGTAGTCGAAAAGACGTCGGCATGGCCTTGCCAGATTAGCGCGGCGATTGGATCGCGGGCGCTGCCGCCCAGGGTAACTCAGCAACACGCGAAGCTTTTGTGACGCTTAGTGGACAGTGACGTTTCGGGCGCGCTCCGAACGTCGCCATGTCGTGGCCTTCTCGACATGGCAGGGTTTTGCGATTCGATCGAGTGGCGTCGCTCGGTCCAGAGCGCACTCCGCGTGGGCTTCCCACCTGCGATTCTTCACTTGGAATTATAGCAGTGGTTTGGCCCGTGCGCTTGGGACAGGGGCCCTCTTTCGCTGGGCCTTCTCAATCCACTGCCCTCTGCCGTGCGAGGTTTGAGACCGCGGGCGAGGCTTGCGAGATGCATGGCTCATTTGCATTCTGGAGAGCATTATAGATACCCCTACCGCATGGGATCCAGCATCTGGATTGGCGACTTTTTCCAGAGGGGGTTTGATTCCAGGAATCAGGCTCGGCAGACGCCAGCTGCCGGGCGATCGACGCACGTCGTGCCGCAGCCAGCCAGCAGCTAGAAGTGTCGCCCCAAATTATCACCCTGTGCTCTACCATGCCCGACGCAATGCCCGCCAACAATCTCGCGCTGGTTTTTCCGATGGCAGCCGCGTCTCAGGCGGGGCATCAGGGGGCGGATTCAGACGGGGGAAGAGAGACAGGGCCAACAGGGCGAAGCGCGTCGCCAAGGCAGCCACGGCGCATCCAGCAGTCGCCAGGTTTGCCGCGGCCTCGAGGAGGCGCCGCGCCGCTGTCAAGCTGCAGGGAGCCGGGGCTCTTGCAGCAGAACAGTACGCAGATGATTTTCACGGAGTACGCGGGTCGGTTACGGCTCGCTGTCGCAGGCAGATGGGCGCGGTCTGAGGTAGCAGCGAGCTCGGCAGATGTTCGGCTAGTCTGATAGGTCATAGAGCTCTGGGAGGCGACCCAGCAGCGGTTTTACCTTTGGCTTGCGCGTTGTTTGGCTGAAGCTGTGGCTCACCAACCTGCTAGCATACCAAATGCAAGAAGGGCTCGGGTATCTATGTAGGACCAATGTTGAAAGATTTCAAATCGGCCGCCCCTGGACACCATTTTCGATTCGTGCGGGGGCCGCTTGGGGTTGTGAGGAGATTTGTGTTGGAGGCGGGGTGAGATCCATAAAGTCTCGACGTCTGGAAAGCCCTTGAGGGCGACCCTTGGAAATTCCCCGAGGAAGAATTGGCAGGGAATCGCCTTCAGGATTCCCCGACCCCGCTGGTGCAAGATTTAGCCGGTTCTAGCCGCTTCACATTTTGGAGGATTGCTGCTTCGCTGTGGTGCAGGGATGAAATGGAGGAGGGGGCGGACAATCCTTATTTCCGCGGCCTCTTGTCCCAGCTTCGCCTAATCCAGCCCAGTGAGAGATTGAGCGAGCGAGTGTGCACTTGCGCCGTGGGAGGTATTTGGACGGGAGCCAGAATCAAAAACGAGTTGGGTCCAACAGTTGATAACCTCTGCCCCGGGTGTCGCAAGGGGCCAGAGGCGGCGCTTCATAACTCGCGGGCTTGCGAGGGTACTGCCAGAGCGCGCGTGCACGAACGGTCCGGTTCGATGGATTCAGAAGCATATGTCCAGCACGACTCCCAGCCGTTATTTTGGCTAAGAGGCTTGATCCCTTTGTCTGCCGCGCAGGTTTTTCCCCCTCCTG